CCCCTAGAATGTACCTTATCAGGGAGTTGGATCAGAAGCAGAGGAGCTGGGACCCATGTCAGGAACTCGGAGAGAGGCCGTGGGTGCCCCAAATGGTAACCTCCCCCCTGGTGCCCCAAACGGTAACTTCCCCGCTGGTGCCCCAAACGGTAACCTCCCCTCTGGTGCCCCAAACGGTAACCTCCCCCCTGCACCAAAACCTTGCTCCTCAGCCCCAGCTCCACATTTTTTTAAGGTAAATATGAGACGTTTTCAAAACGTCCAGAGGAAATTTGTATTACGAAGAAACTATTCATGGATTTCAAAATATTTATTCAAAATAAGCTTATCTTTTAATTCCATTTTCCATAAACTTTTGGAAAGACTTTTGCATACTTTCATCACAGTTGAGAACACAGTACACACAGGATTTGGTACCTTGCATTGTGTATTTCGCTTGCCATTATCATAAACAGTTCTTCAAAACACTGAAAACCCGTTATAGCCATTATTTTCAGTAGTTCTGTACTGTTCCACTGTATCTCATCATTTTCCTCACCGGTTCCTTATTGTTGGATGATTCGTTTCCAGGGCTCTGATCTTAATAAACGTTCTGCAGTGAGCGTATTTGTAAGCTTTGGGTGCTTCCCGGGCAGTGTGAGTTCCTGAAGGTCACCCAGGTTCGGCCTTGGGTAACAGGTAGAGGCCCATCACACTTGAAAGGCACAGTCTGGCTTCTGGAACGTAACAGCATGGGAAGGTCCAGTGTGGGCCACCAAGAGGTCCTGGGGGTGGCTGAGGGTCTTGGAGACCGCAGGAAGCCCTTTGCACTAAAGCTGTAGTGGTCATCGAAGGTGTCAGCTTGCCTGGATTCAGGGACACCCAGATAGCGGGTGAAGCACTATCGCCTCTGGGTATGCCTGAGAGGGCGCTTCTGCAAGAGACTGGCATTCGAATCTGTGGCCTGAACAAAGATCCACGGTCACTCAACGTGGGGCGGTGCCGACCAATCCCTTGAGGGCCCAGAGAGATCACAGAGGCAGAGGAAAGACACGGGCGTCCTGGGGTCATGGTGGCTTCCAGCAGGATTTTCAAGGATATCCCGAGGAGCCATGCGAAAGTTCGCAGCAGAGTTGGAACTCCTGCAGGGAGCCCCAGTGGGGCGATGCCTAACAGAGCTGGGGAGGGGAGCTGGAGAGGCGACTGCCAAGGGTCGTGCCCGGCATCGTGCACCACCTGCCTGGGAAACCGACTGACATCAGCGAGCAGTCTCGGAGAGCAGCCACGTGGGCAGAGACCAACAGAGACAGGGAAGCATGGAGGCCTCCACTTGGGTTTCATAAGACATCTCAGACAACCTGGGGGCCCAGGCAGAGAGCTGTTGAGGGTGGGGGGGCGGAGCCGCTGCAGAGCACACGCACTAGAGTAACAGAGTGGAAATGGGAGGTCCGAGCTGCTGTGCAGAGTTCCCACCAGCACGAGGCCCAGTGGAGCTGCAGAGATGAGGTTTCAGTGTGCAAGGACTGGGCTGCAGCCAGCAAAGCCATGGGCAGGGCTCCCACGTGCCCTACACGGGGCTTCAGGAGCTCATGTTTGCCCCGCGGAGATTCGGTCTTGCCTCTGACCAACTAGCCTCGTTTCTGCTTCGCCGTCTCCTCGGTTTGGAGTGGAGGTGCACGCCCTGTGCCTGCCCTGCTGTTGTGTGTGGAGCTGTGTACCTGGGGTATTTGGAGGCCTGCAGATGGAAGAACTGGCTTTGAGTCTCAAAGGAGACGTTGAACTTGGACTTTTGAGCAATGCTGGGACATTAAGACTTTGAGGGAATGGAATGAATGCATTTTGTATTTGGAGGTGGACATGAACCTGTGCAGGTCAGAGGTCAGGATGCTGTGGTTTGGATACGAGTTTGGGTGTTGAATGTCCTCTAAAGGCCCATAAGTTGAAGGTTTGGTCCCAAAAGTCTTACACTAATGGCACTAAGAGTGCGGACACTTAATCCAATGGTGGTGCATCGAGGTGGGAGCCTTCATTAGCTTGGATTAGGTTGTTAGGCTGGGGGCCTTTGAATCCTCATGCCTGTATAAGGAGAGGCACAGGACCTGCACGCTCCCGGCATCCTGCCGTGTGATGTTCTGTGCCCCGCAGGACCCTGCCGGCAAGGACTGCATCACCAGAGGCTGAGCCGGTGGGGTCCACCCAGTCTTGGGCTGTGAACCCTCGGGACTGGCCGATGACTCTCGCTCAACATTCGACGGCTTTGCCTTTGGCTGCCCAACATTTGTGTATCTTCTTTGATATACATCTGTATTTCACTTTTGACTGTTCAATTCCCTTTCGCAGTTAAACATTTCTATTGTCTTTTGACTGCTTAAGAATTGCTTCTGAATTCCAGGCCCTTATAATAGAGTCGCTTTGCAAACGTTTCCTCATTCTATGGGTTGTCTTCTCCCCTTCTTGACAAAGAATTTAATTTTGACAGAGCCTGAATTACCTGCTTTTTTATTGTTCATGCTTTTGTGCTAAGAAACGGCTGCCGAATCCAAGGTCACATGTCGCTCCCCGTCTTCGTGGAGGAACGACACAGGACCCTGCGTTGTTCTTTTGTCTGCTCGGCCCTTCCCGGGTTTGCTGCTGGTTCTTCCCAGGTTGGCTACCGACCCTTCCACCTCCGTGGAAGGGCGGGCCCCCTGCCACTTTCCCCACTTCCGCGGGGGAGCGGCACACCGCCGGCTGGCTCTCTCGGGGGCTGCTCAGATGTTCCCCTTAGATGTTCCCCTTAGATGTTCCTGGTGCATGTTGTCTCTCTCCTCCTTTGTAGTCCTCTTCCACCAATCCCAACTCTGCTACCCACACGCCGAGTACGCTGCTCTCCTCCAATCAGGAGCAGGTCCTGCTGTTTATTGGCTGAACTGGAGGCAGCTGTGTAGAAGCTGTTTACTCCTCTCTCAGCGCCATATTGTGGGAGAGCAGATGCATAGAATAAGTCTTAATTCCAGTAACTTAGTCTAGTCCGAGTTGCTCCCCACAGTCACAGAGATTTAATCCTGTTTTCTTTTTCTTCTTTTTAGAAAATATCTGTTTACTTGAAAGTTGGAGTTACAAAACAGACGGAGAGACAGAGACCCGTCTTCCAGCCACTAGTTTACAAATGGCTGCAACGGCTAGGACTGGGCCAGGCTGGAACCAGGAGCCAAGAACTTCATCTGGGTCTGCCATGTGGGTGGCAGGAACCCAGAACACGTGGGCCGTCTTCCGCTGCTTTCCCAGTCCGTTAGCAGGGAGCTGGATTGGAAGAGGAGCAGCTGGAACGCAAGCCAGCCTCCATCCAGGATGCCAGTGCCGTAGGTGAGCGCTGGCCCAATGCTGTTTTCTTCTAAGAATGCCATAGTCTTAGCTCTTACACTCGTACCTCTGATTCATTTTGAGTTAATTTTGTGCTATACAACCTACATTCTTTAGCTTGTGAATTTCCAGTTATCCCAACACTGTTTGTTGGAAACACTATTCTCACCCTACTGGATTATCTTGGCACCTTTGAGAAAAATCAGTTAACCATAGACACAGGTTTTTATTTCCGGACTCTCAGTGTCCATCTCTCCTTATGCCACTTACCACCCTCTCTAGATTTATGTAAATTTGCAACACATTTTGAAATTGTAAAGTCTCTTTCTTCCAACTTGGTTGTTTCTTGAGAGTCTTTGGCCATTCTTACATCTCTGTGTTTGTTGGTATACTTATTTGTCTATTTTGAAAATTTCTATTTATTTACTTGAGAGGCAGAGAGAGAGAAATAGATCTCCCATTTGCTGGTTTACTCCCCAAATGTGCACGGCAGGACCTGGGCTGGTTCTGGTAACTCAATCCGGGTCTCCCACATGTGTGGCTGAGGCATCACCGGGCCTCCCAGGGCCTGGAGGAGGAGCTGGAGTGGAGTATGGAACCAGGTACTCAGCTGTGGGATTCAGGTGTTGGAACCAGAGTTTCAGCTGCCAGGTCGGATGCTCCACCAAGCAGAAACCAGACATTCAAACAATCGCTCCACTTCCCGCAGGAAAACAAACAGGCCCAGGTTCTCTCCGGGGACCACAAACACCGATTTCCGGCCCTGCAAGTCCTCGTTCCCCTGGCTCTGTCTCTGCGCCTTCGTGACAGAAGTGTGAGCCAGGTGCTCAGGTTGGATCTCGCGGGCCTGTGTCTATAACGAGTCACACGGACTCTAATGACAAATGAGTTACTGACCGCCCTCCCCCTCCCCCCAGAATCTGGCACGGTGTTCCTGGCTTGTTTCTGTGAGTCCCCAAACAGGGAATCTTGTGTGCAAGAAGACGGTCTCTCCGTGGGTCACCGGCTCCCTCACACCTGCCCCACTGCCTCTCCTGCACCTGTGCCTCTCCTGCACCTGTGCCCCTCCCTCCCAGTCTTGTTTCTGTAGAACCATGAGGACCCCTCCTCATCGCAGTACCACAACCAGGCCAGGGCTGCTCCACGAGGGCCATGTGAGGTCTCCAGCGGGTACTTGTGTTTGCAGACACAAGGGGCCCGTCGTCTTGCGGGTCACTGAACAATCAGCCTCCCGTGGGCAATGTTTGAGGGCAGGCTTCACCTCCGGGTGACAAGGAGAGGAGATGGTGGGACGTCCCCTCCAGAAGCTGCCTCCCTGGGGAGTGAGGAGGAGAGTGTCCAGGATGTAGGGGGCGGGGGCTTCCAGCTCAAGCCCCGCCCACCTTCATGCCTGGTCTGGGTACAGCCCTGAGCCAGCCTGCTCTGCGTCAGCCTTCCTGGGTTGACTGGGGCTCCGGCCCCTCCGAGTGCGGTGCTGAGAGATCAGCCTTCCTGGAGCACCCTCCGAAACAGGCTGTGATGGGTGAAGCGTGTCGGGTTCTCTGCCCCCGCCCCCGCCCCCACGCCCCTCTCCTAAAGCCCAGGGGGTGGTGTGAATCCACTAAAATAATGCAAATCCAGGCCCCAGCGCCCAAGAGACTTTTCTCCCAGGATTTCAAAATAGCAAAGTTGATGACGAGTTCCAGTCTCTGGCAGAAGGGACATTTATTTTCCAAACACTTCCCCTAGCCTGGTGGACACGTGCTTGGGTCTTGTGATTTCAGGGGAGACTGGGGTGGTCCCTTCTTCCTATGGAGGTAGGTGGCTCCGTGTGAGGCCAGACAGACCAAACAGAGCCAGGATTCCTTCTGTCTCCGCTCACCTGGTCAGGCACGTGGGAGCAAGGGACCGCTTCTGTGTGGTGGGCTTGGCCTGACCTGGGGTGGGAGGTGAACACAGGGACACAGAGGGTGTGACAGTCCACCCTCCCCTGCCCAAAGTCTGGGCGTTTTACTCATTTCTCCCGGCTTCCACCAAAAAATCAAAGCTTGATGCATCACCCAGGCAAGGCCCTTCCTGTGCTGTTACCCAGAACCTCCAGGGGCTATTAGGAAGTTGTGCTAATCCTTCGGCCAGGCCAGCCACACCCCAGCCCCGGCCCACACTTCAGCGTCACATCCCATTCAGGCCCAGTGCTGTCACTCCCTTCTCTTTCCTCCTCGATGTCGCTGCAGCCCAGGTGCTGCGGCCAGGCGTCCTGACTAAGCTGTTCACCCCCGGCCATCTGGCCAGACGCGCTCTGCGTGACGGCGCCTGGCTGTCCACCTGCTTCCCGGCGGCACAGCGCGTGGGTCTGATGCACAACCTCGCAGGCCCAGAAGGAATCAGAGATGCCAAACTGGGTTACACAAGCGAGTTAGCAGGTGGCGGCGAGGTGCGTGCTGTCAGGAAGTGAGTCAGGAGCCTGGCGACATGCATCCTCGGTTCTCCTGTCGGTTTCTTTTCGACAAGCAGTTCTGGGATTCCTGGTGTGTTCACGGAGTGGAGGAGGGGCTCTGTGAAGCAGGCCCTGAGGACACAAACGCACACAAGACACAGTCACCAAACAGAGGGCTCCCCGTCCACGGGCCACTCAGACCCGGAAGCAGGAAGCGCACAGGCAGTGCCGATGCGTGCTACTCGCAGCCAGAGACCGGGTTCTTCCTGCGGAATCAGCAAAGGCTTCGGGGACGAAGACCCGACGTCCAAGGCCAGCTCTGCAGAACGAACTCGATTCTCCAGGTGCACGAGAGCACAGAACGTCCTTCTTAGGAGAACTGGGGAGAGGGGCCTTTGGTGCCCCCTGGAACATCTGCTACGGGGCTCCAGCCCTGGACACATCTGCTCTGCCCTTTCTGATCCTGTGTGTGCGCAGCCCTCTGCCCCTGGGGCTTGTGGGTTGCAGCTCTAGGGGGGGAGGACAGGATTGACAAGTCACCCCCGAGGCCTGGGCCAGGCCCCAGAGCAGACGGGACCCCAGGGCTTGGGTGCTGAGTTAGCGGACTTTGTTATGCTGGAGCTGACAAGCTGCAGGCCAGGAGGGGATTCCCTCCCGCCACCCCCTGCCACCACCCAGGGACTTGTATTGTGGAGCTCTTACGGAGTCTGGAAAGTGCGCATCTTTGTGGCAAAGCTGGCATCCCTGGATTCAAAGCCCTGCCGTGCACGGGGCCCAGGTTCCGGCTGCCTCCTAGAAGCCTGGCCCCTGCTCCTCACCAGTCCCCTGTGCGTCCTGGGAGCTGGCCTGGGCTCCGCGGGCCGTTCAGCACGCCCCCTGGAGGCAACTGGGAGTCACTGCACTTAAGTGGGAGAGCCCAGTGGTAGTATCTGGATTGGTAAAATGGGGGGGGGGGGGGGGGGGAATTGAACTTGAGAAGATGGCTGGGAAGCAGGAAGGCTGCCAGTGAGCGTTAGAGGGAGGGGGCAGAATCCCCCACCCACACACGTGCACACCCTTTGAGTATGCAAAACTGCTTTCTCCTCTTACCACTCTGAGTTCTTTGATTTGCTTTTTAAAGTTTGTTTATTTACTTTAAAACCAGAACAACAGAAATAGGGGTAGAGAAACAGATGATAGACAAACAGACAGACAGACAGACGTAGATAGATCTTCCACCTGCTGGCTTACTCACCAAATGCTCCCGACAGCCAGGCCGACGTCAGGAGCCAGGAACTCCATCCAGGTCTCCCACATGCGTGGCAGGGGGCCGTGCACTTGGGCCGTCATCTGTTCCCTCCCAGGATGCATTACAGGAAGCTGGATAGGAAACAGAGGAGCAGGGAGTCAAACCAGCACTGATATGGGATATGGGTGCCCCAAGAAGCGGATACGTTCGCTGCACCACAATGCCAACTCTATTCTCTGATTTCCTCACCTGGGCCCAGTGCTGTGGCACAGCAAGTTCAGTTACCTCCTGCAATGCTGGCATCCCATATAAGTGCGGGTTCGAGTCCCAGCTGCCCCACTTCTGATCCAGCTCCCTGCTAAGGGGCCTGGGAAAGCAGCAGAAGATGGCGCAAGGTGCTTGGCCCCTGTACCCACATGGGGGACCTGAATGAAGCTCTTGGCTCCTGCCTTGGGCCTGGTCTAGACCTGGCTGTTGCAGTCATTTGGGGAGTGAACCAGCAGATGGGAAGATTCTCTCTCTCTCTCTCTCTCCCTCCCTCCCTCTCCTCTCTCTCTCTGAAACTCTGCCTGCTAAATAAATAAAATAAATCTTTAAGGGAAAAAAAAAGACTTCCTAATCCCATATATAATTATTCACTTTCAACTTTAAGATGATTTTCTCTTGAGAATGAGAGAGAAGTACAAATCCCATTCTTCCTAGGCCTGCTGTTCCCTTCTGCTCCCATCTTAGAGACTGATTGGGGTTGCGGCCCAAGGAGAACTTCCAGTCCTGGACCATTGATTTTCTGACTTCACGGTGGCCCTTGGAGGATTAGGCTGCATGCGTTTCAAGCTTCTCCAGGGCTCACCCCCCATAGAAGCGGTGAAATATTTTTCCACGCTCAGCAAACATCTATTAATGAACTGGAAGGGGGGGGGGAAGAATTGTTAGGGAATAAAACAAGAGGCAGCACCGCCCCTGACCCAGGGCCCTGTGTGTTCCGCTGCAAATCCCTTTCCAAATTGTACCAGCTTGTACAGGAGGGAGAGGAGAGAAGCGCTGAATTCCATTGCCCCCTCCAGCACTGGCATGCAGGCCACAGGGGCTGAGCCAGTGGGAGCGGCTCTGGTCTCCGTGACTGCAGCAGTGGGGAAGGCTTGCACGGTGCCCGCCAGGTGCCAAGCAGGTGAACGCCGGTGGTAGTGTTTGTCTGGCAGTTAATGGAGCCGGTCCTTGTGTGTGTTGTTTGAGCTATTTCCATCCACAGGTGTCGTGTCATTTACAGATCTGCCACCTCATCGAGTGCCACTTTCCGACACGGCACTTTCGAGTGAGATGATGTTCTCTGCGAGCATGTGGATGACGAGTGTCAGTCGGGGTCAAGAGGAAGGCGGGCAGCCTCCTGCTGCGTCTTTGCTCTCCCGGGCTCAGAGCAAGGTGGCTGCTGGCACTCGGGTTTCTGTACAGTGGTCTGGAGGTGAGCCAGTGGCAGGGCCCAGGACAGAGGTGAGCCAGTCGCAGGTACAGTGGTCTGGAGGTGAGCGAGTGGCAGGTACAGTGGTCCAGAGGTGAGCGAGTGGCAGGGCCCAGGACAGAGGTGAGCGAGTGGCAGGGCCCAGGACAGAGGTGAGCCAGTGGCAGGGCCCAGGACAGAGGTGACCGAGTGGCAGGTACAGTGGTCCAGAGGTGAGCGAGTGGCAGGTGCAGTGGTCCGGAGGTGAGACAGTGGCAGGGCCCAGGACAGAGGCACACTCATTCGTGCCTGGGGGTTCAGGAAGCAGGTGTTGAGAGAGGAGCTTATTGGTGCTCTGAAAGTGAGGACATGAGACGGAGGCAGGAAGGCAGCCAGCGAAGGGTGCAGTGTTGGGTCAGCTGCCTCTGCGGGAGCTTAGCCTTGCTAGGGAGCGTTGGGGCCAGCAGAGAATCCATGGCTCAGCGCGATCTCACTCAAAGGGTGAGGGCACCAGCGCTCCTGTATACCAGCTCCTGGGTAAGGACTGCTCCCGGGGAGTGTGGATACCCCAAAGCTTCTCCTAGCTGCTGAAGGAGGCAGGGCGGGCTTTGGTGGCCAGAGGGCGGGCTTTGGTGGCCAGAGAGAGCACTCGAGTGACGGAGTGCAGTGCTGGCAGTTGGCCGGGGGCCCACCAGAGAGAGAAGGATGAGGCGCTATGGTAGGGGAGTGACAGGGCCTGCTAAGTACTCTTTGAGGGCTTTCTGAGTGCAGGATGTCCACAGAACCATGGCCGAGGTAGATTCTGTCTCTGTGGGCACAGAGCTTACAGCTTAGTGGAGGAGATGACCAAGCAGCCAGGCAGAGTCCAGAAGATGGGGAGGGGGTGGTGGTAGGAAGGAGGGCTGTGTCAGGGGCAGATGAGGCTCTCAGCTGGACTTGAGTCAGGGCTGGAAATGTCCGTGGGTGGGGAAGGAGAGGGAGCAGCAGGTGCAAGGCCCTGGGGAGAGTGAGTTTGCAGCAGGTTTTGAGGAACTACACAAATTTTGTGTGGCTGGGCTGCAGAGAACAAGGGAGGAATGGCGAGAAAGAGGGTGATTGAGGAATCACAAAGAGGAGCCTCGTGGAGAGGTCGAGAAGACGCCTGGATGGTTCCTGGCAGTTCCTCCCCAAGACCAAGCCTACTTCCTGCCAGGATTTCAAGTCCTTAAAGATTATCCCTAGCCTTCCCCGTCCTCTTTAGATCTTGCACACAACCTTTCTCTTAGACAGATTCCCCCAAACTTGATGCACTTTCAACCCAAAATCTAACCAAGGGGTGCTTGATTTTTCCTGTGGTTGGATATAGAATTGGCAAATTAGTTCTGCTCTTGGATTCAGTGGCTGAATCTCATTCAGTGATGGTTCAAGTCCCTCGCCTTGAGATACTTAAGGTATGTGGTGTGTGTGTGTGTGTGTATGTGTGTGTGTGAGAGGGTGTTGTCAAAGGTGGCTTCAATGGTCCTGACCTCAGATGCTTTGGCTCACTTGTGAATAGAAATTGACAAGAAGCCAAACAGCAACCCAGACGAGGTTTCCCGGGGAGACGGCACAGTGGGAAGATTCCTGCTAGTTTTCCCAGGGGAGCTGACCAGGCACTTTTATTTCACTGGGGGAAGCATGGCTGCTCCCCTCGGCGAATGATGCTCCCCTCTGCGCTCAGCTCACTGTTCTGTGCGGGTGCTGTTGGGTTTTTTGCACACGACTTCCTCAAAATGGTGATGTTGCTCACTAGCGCCACCCCAGGACGGTCACAAATGGGTCACTTTGGGCTGTTCCAGGCTGTGCAGTTGGGGACGTCTCTAACTGGGCAGACAACAGGGGGTCTTTTGTGCGTTTGTGCAGGGGTGGGGAACATCCAGCCGTGGGCCATAGGAGGCCCACGAAATCATCTGGTCTGGTTCTGACAAGGCAACTGCATGCGGGACTCAGAATCCAATGAATCTATAGCAGGCCAGCTTTAGGTGGGAAGTCTTGTATGGCCCATGAAGGAGGTTGTGAATATTCCAATGACTCTGGCCATTATGGTCCCCTCCCCGAGTTTTGCTTCTGATTGGTTTGGAGCTGGAGCTGGACTGTGGGTTGCGAGGGCTTCATGTAGTAAGCCTTGCTTCTCTCCAGTCTCCATGCCTCTCACTCACACTCTTCTTACCACGCGACAGTGAGAGGTAGGCTCTCCATTCCTCCCTGCTGAATTGGGGACGGGCTCTGACTTCCCCGGTGGGGCTACGTCATCAAAGCCAAGACTGTCCTTGGTTTCCCAGGCATATTTGAATCCCTTTAAGGAGCTGAGGCTGCCACACTGTGAAAGCCCTGGTCATACACAGAGGTCGTGTTTAACAGTGCTGGCCAATAACCACAGCTGAATTTAGCTCCCCCTGATAGTGCAGACAGCCACAGGTGGCAGATGATTCCTGCCCCCAGCTGTCGAGTGCACCCCAATCATGGAGTCACCTCAGCCTTGGACCCTGCCAGCCATTGCAGGACAGAGACAAGCCACGCCCACCGAATCCTTGACCCGCAGAACCTATGGGATGAGTGAGTTGCTTGTTCCAGATGTGGCATTTGGGGGCCATGCACCATGCAGAACTAGGTAACTCAGGGTGGGAGCACGGGTTTATGCCGAGTCACGTGGAGCGCAGTGGATACACCTGTCATGGCACCACGTGGAAGGAAGAACACTGGAAAGAGACTTCTGTCTAGGGTTTGTGGAGAAGGCTTCTTGGGGAAGTTTGGACTTGAACTCAGCCTTGAAGGGTTGCTGCCTACCTCCTCCAGAAGGAACCGTGCCTGCCCTTTGACAAAGCAATCACTCTGCTCCCATTCTTAGCCATCTGGCCTCCCAGGGTTTGATGCCCCAGCCCTGGGGTGAGGCGTGATGATGATGGGTTCGCAAAAGGATGTCTTAGACAGAGACACTTTGCCTCATGTCTGGGGCAACCGGAAGACACTGCGGGTGGTGGGAGACTGGAGACAACCCCCCCCCACACTTCATAGTTGGCCTCGAGCTGCTGGGGAGAGGGTGTGGGCACTGAGGGGAAGCCCTGAGGAAGGAGGAGACGCAGAGACAGAAGCAGGCAGGCAGGAAGGAGCTGGCCATTGCGAGGTCATCTGACTTGAGCCCGAGACCCTTCTTCAGCCCCCCTTGTTACATAAGCCCTTAGTCGAATTTCCTGGGCTGCAACAGGAGGAGCCCCACTGATGGCAGAGGGTGGGGTTTGGTATCTCTCATGGAGACCAAGGGAAGGGAAACATCTCTCAGAGTTTGTGTCATGGGCAGGGGGTGGGGGTAGAGGGGACAGGCTATATGAAAAAGTGAGAAAGTTTCCCAAGTCAAAGACACATCATTGGTGCAATGTTTTCCCAAGTTCTGATGTTTTCCTTCGTCCTTCAATACGTGTGTATAAGCCCACTATATGGCAGGCACTGCGTGTATGTTGGGTCTAAGACACTGGAAAGAGAGTTGTGGGGTGGGCATTTGGGACAGCAGCTAAGACATTGCGTGGGATGCCTGCATCCTGTATCTGACTGCCTGGATTTGAATCCGGGCTCTGATCTCAGTTCCAGCTTCCTCCTAGGAGGTGGCCCGTGGTATTCAAATAGTTGGGTCCCTGCCACTCCCATGGGAGACACGGATCCAGTTCTCAGCTCCTGGTTTAAGCCCAGCCTAGCCCCGCCGTTGCAGGCATCTTGGGCTAGGAGAGCTCTTTGTGTCTCTCTGCCTTTCAAATATAATGCAAATAAAAACTGGAAAAAAAAGAGTCGTGGTCCCTGCCTTTGTGGGACGTACAGCCCCCGGGCAGCAGCAGCCTTGATTGTCAGGGAGATGAAGTGGTGTAGGAGGAGAGGAAGAGGCCAAGGGAGCTGTAACCGGAGCTTCACCTCGCTGGGAGGAGGCAGACGGGAAGCCTGCCCCCAAGAAGGCGACGTTTAAGCAGAAGCCTAAAAGATGAGCCAAGATTCACTTAGTCATCTGGAAGAGGCTCTGGGAATAGTCCATGTAGAGAGGAAAGCG